CTATAAGTCCATGTTGGTGACAAATACTGTGGTGACAAGTACAGATGAGACAGACAATTGCTTTGAATTGTGACAGTGTGTCAGCAGTTTTATCATGACTGCTTTTGGGCCATTAGTGAAATATCAATATAATACCTAAACAGTAGTTTAGCAAACTAGTCATTATATTTCTGGTGAGTACTAGGGCCTCCTGCTTGCTAGCTTGGCACTCTCCCACTGGAGCCATAGCTGCAGCCTTGCCGTTGCTGGTTATTTTTGAAAATGGAATTGAGCAAACTTCTCTGTCTATGCTGGCCTCAAGCCTTGATCCTCTAGATCTTGGCCTCCTGAGCAGTTAGGAATACAGTTGTGAGCCACTGTTACCTGGCTAATGCAAATAGCTTAGTAATATTATTATAAAAATAGTTATGACTCATATAGGTCTGTAGGTATCTAAGGACAACACTTGGAGGGCCATTGCTCTACACTGAACTGGAATTGAATTGATTCCATTCAGTGGCAAGGGTGCAGTGAAGTGCCTGGAAAAACCTTGGAAGATTCTGAATCACTGAAAGTGTGATTCAGTTCTAGTGTCTGTCTGCTCCTGGGAAAGATCTTTCTTCAAGTCTGAAAGTCATAGCTAGTCCTGTGTGATGGATGCTTTGAGAGGCAGAGGGGAAGCTGGGACATTGCAAGAGTTTGAGGATAAGCCACACAAAAACCGCACACTGCTGTAAGTGACTTTTATCATTCAGCAGCAGGACCGTGCAGTGGGAAGTCAGCAATTTTAGAGACTGAGGGAACCTTGCCTTCCAGAGGCACTGCGTGACTCTGGGCCTCTTCACTCTCCATCAATCAGCCTTTCCATCTGTCTTTGACTTCAAACAGAAGCCTCAGAGAAAAGCCTACTTCAAAGACACCCTGAGCAGCTGGCAGACCATTTTTCAGTTTTGAATGTGGCAGGAGAACAAGGCTGAAAGGACAGCAGGAGAAGGAGAGGAAGGTCAGGTGGGAAGAGCGAGCCCTTCATTATGAGAAATGGGGCCATAAGAAATAACCTCTCAGCTGGGTGCTGGTGGCTCAAGCCTGTAACTCTAGACACCCACGAGGCTGAGATCTGAGGATCATGCTTCAAAGCCAGCCTGGGCAAGAAAGTCCATGAAACTCTTTATCTCCAATAAACCATCCAAAAGCCAGCAGTGGAGCTAAGGCACAAGTAAGCAAAAGAATCCCCCAAAACCAAAACCAAACCAAAAACCAAAAAATCCCTAACCAAACCTTGAGCAAAAAAAGCTAAGGGACAGCAACCAGGGCCTAAATTTAAGCTCTAGAACTGGCACACACAAAAAAGGAATAACACCTCCAAAACTTGGTTGGTTTTCCCTCTCATTCTGTTTCTTGTCTTCAGACACAGTCACAAAGATCCTAAACTACTGCTTTAGTTTTGTTTATTTTGGCTGGTACCAGGACCTTGAACTTAGGACCTGGTGCTCAGCTTTCTTGTTCATGGTTGGTGCTCTATTACTTGTACATACATCCAGTCCAGCTTTTTTGTTTTTTTGTTTTGTTTTGTTTTTTAGCCAGTCATGGGCCTTGAACTCTGGGCCTGGGCGCTGTCCCTCAGCTCTTCAGCTCAAGGCTAGCACTCTACCACTTGAGCCACAGCACCACTTCTGGCTTTTTTCTGCTTATGTGGTGCTGAGGAATCGAACCCAGGGCCTCATGCATGCAAGGCAAGCACTCTACCACTGAGCAACCTTCCCAGCCCCCAGCTTTTTTGTTTTGCTAGATAATTGGAAACTGTCACAGCTTTATTTTGCTTGGGCCGGCTTGGAACCTCCATCCTCCACGTCTTGGCCTCCTGAGTAGGTAGGATTATATAGAATGCAAAATGTCTTCAAATCTGTTATCTCAAAAGTCCCCTCCCCAACATTGTGAGGTGATCAAGGCAGTGATAATGATCATTCAGAGCAATGAGGAAACTGAGGCATAGTAAAAGGAAATGAGAAAGTATGTGAGGTAGGTTCAAATTTAAGTCATTGGACTAAAATGGGATACCAGTGTCTTATGCCTGTAATCCTAGTTGCTCAGAAAGCTGAGATCTGAGGATGACAGTTCAAAGCCAGCTCAGTAAACAAAGTCCATGGGACTCTTATTTCTAAGTAACCATCAAAAAGCTAGACATGGAGTTGTGACTCAAGTGGTAAGAAAGCTAAGGTACAGTTCCCAGACCCTGAGTTCAAAAACCTAGTGCTGGCAAACACACAGAGTAGATTGATCTGCAGCATCAAAAAAAAAAGAAAAGAAAAAAGTTGAGGTTGTTGTCAACCTCATGGCCAGCAAGAGGCCACTATTGGGCTTTACTTCCTGTAAACCAAGGTAAAAAGAGAGACCCAATCAGCTACGTAATTATCAAGAAGGAGGAAGTCACTAGTTTCTCTGAGAGTAAACCAAAAGTTTTCCTAATGTTGACCTGTGATGCAATTTCATACTCGAGATTTTATTTTAGGTGTTAGTACTGCGGAGCTGTGTCAGGGACAACACAGTCTTTTGTTGTAAGCTGGGTTCAGGTTTGAATTTTGTTTTTATAAGTGCAGCTATTCTTTTTCATCTCCAGATAACCTTTCAGCTATAACACGGAGATAAGATAATAGCATCTATTAGAGTTGTGAAGATTTAATTAGATGAATTGTATAAATAATGTTATCCCTTAGTTAATCAGAAAACTTGGCAGTCTATTCCTCACACAATTTTAAGTGTAGGGGGCACAGTGATAAACAAAAAAAAAAATCCTATGTTTAAGGAGCTCTTCTATTGCAGTGGGGGTAGAGAGACAATAAAATTGCAAGTAAACAAGTAATTTCAAAACATACATCAAAAAGAATATCTCAAATGCACGAGTAGATTTCCTTTGACTTGTTCTTGCAGTCATCTTCCAGAAAAGAGGATAATATTAAAATGCAGTGGTAGAAAGTGAATCTGTTGGGGGAAGGGAAATAATGCTCCATAGGAAATATACTCATTATCTTACTCATGTAACTGTAACCCCTTTGTACAATATCTTTGCAATTAAAAATATATATGAAGAAAGTGAATTTGTTAGGACCTAGGATAATGTAGTCTGGGAACAGAGGTGGATTTTTGTAGGCTGTTTTATTTTTATTTATTTATTTGGGTCCGGTCGTGGGGCCTGAACTCTGAGCCTGGGCGCTGTCCCTCTGCTCTTCAGCTCAAGGCTAGCGCTCTACCACTTGAGCCACAGCGCCACTTCCGGCTTTTTTCTTTTTGCTTATGTGGTGCTGAGGAATCGAACCCAGGGCCTCACATATGCAAGGCATGCGCTCTACCACTGAGCCGCCTTCCCAGCCCCTGTAGGCTGTTTTATAAGTCACATTTTTTTGTTTGTTTGAAAACTCACACCTCTGTTGTGATTTTGGTTAAGAGGTGGAGGCAGTTTGAACTTATATTCTGAGTATAACCTCCAGTATACTATATTTATTTATATATGTTATATCAGAATAGAGATGATTTATTTATTTATTCATTTATTGCTGGTACTGGGGCTTGAATTTAGAGACTGGATGCTGTCCTTTAGCTTTGTGCTCAAGGCTAGCATTCTACCATACCTCCATTTCCAGCATTTTGGTGGTTCTTTGGAGGTAAGAGTCTCAAGAACTTTCTTGCCTGGATTTGCTTTGAACTTGTATCCTCAGATATTAGCTTTCTGAGTAGCTAGAATTATAGGTATGAGCCTCTCATGCTTCAAATTATCCTGATTGTATCTGCAGATGAAAGATTCTACTCACTATTGATCTTTTTTATTGGGAAGGTGGGTGAACCCAAGTCCTGACCACAGCTATAGAGCTAGAAAAAGTAGCTTTCTAAAAACCAACTTGAGCTGGGTGCCAGTGGCTCATGCCTGTAATCCTAGCTACTCAGGAGGCTGTGATCTGAGAACTGCAGTTCAAAGCCAGCCTGGGCAGGAAAGTCTGTAGGACTCTTATCTCTAATTAACCACCAGAAAACCGGAAGTGGTGCTTTGGCTGGAGTGGTAGAGCACTCGCCTTGAGATGAAGAGCTGAGGGACAGTGCCCTGGCCCAGAGTTCAAGCCCCATGACTGACAAAATAAAATAAAATAAATAAAAACCAACTTGAGAGGATGGGTGTGGTTGGGATAGATGGGGTGGGTTGGGACAGATGAACCGGGTGACACCTGCAGGGTGTTGGTGCTCGGCCTGTAATCCTAGCTACTCAGGAGCCTGAGAGATGTAAGGATTGCAGTTTGAAGCCAGCCTGGGCGGCGAAAGTTCGTGAGCCTATCTCCAATTCACCACCAGAAAACCTGAAGTGGAGCTGTGGCTCAAAATAGTAGAGAACTACTAGCCTTGAGCTGAGAAGCTCAGCGACAGAGAGCCCCAGAGCCCAGGTCCTGAGTTCAAGTCCAACAACCGACAAACAACAACAACAACAAGAAAAGAAAGGGGTCACCCTGATCAAGATGCATTGTACTCACAAACTGAGAAATTGAATTAAATCCTATTGTACAACTACTTAAAGGTAATAATAAAGAGCAAATAATAAAAGTTTAAAAATTGGTAGTACCACTTTTGGTTTTCCTCTTTTGTTTTTTTCAGAATGGATTTTAAAAATATGACACAGACTAGTAATACGAGGGAGGAGGTTCATTATGGCATTTCCTCAATTGCATACAATGTATTCTCATCAGCCTCTGTCTCTGCATGTGTCCCCACCACAGCCCCTCTTCCTAAAACAATTTCCACAAGTTTCATACACGACAACAAACGATTTCCACTGTCTTTATCCTCATTAGTCTTCCCACCCCCACACCAGAGTCTGTTTGGTTTTCCTCTTATTTGTCCTTTTCCATTCTCGGCTCATTTTCCAGTTGTCTATCTTTCTTCCCTGGCTGAGAAGAGTTTCTCGGCAGCCCTGGACATTCCTAAGGGTTGGAGCCCCGCCCACGTGCAGGGTGGGCGTGACATCAGGCCCCGCCCCCTACCCGCTCTGCGGCGGCCCGCCCCTTTTTCCTCCGGACCGCCGACTGAGCGCCGGAGTGTGTGTGAGTGCGCGCGCGTGCCCGCTCACGGCCCGTCTCAGCCTCGGGAGCGCGCTCTGTGTGGCCGCTGCCGCCATGTTGTTGTGGTTGTGAGAAGGCGGCGGCGGCGGCGGCGGCTGAGGAGCAGCCGGACGAGACGCTCCAGCGGCCCAGGCGCTGCCCCCCGCCAGCCCTGGCCGGGAGCCTCGTGGGGTGGCGGAGGAGGCCGTGCTGTGGCGGGCCTCGCCATGTCCTGCCGCCCGGTAAGAAGCTCATCCCCGAGCCTCGGTGGTGGGGAGCCGCTGGCGTTGGGGCCGGCCCGGGCTTGGCGGCTGTCACCCGCGGAGGGGGGCGGCGGCCGGGGTCGCGGCGCGGGTGGGAAGGGCCGGAGGGGTGGGGAGCGGGAGCCCCGCCTGGGCTCCCCGGTGGGGAGTGAGGGTGACCCCGCGGCGCGGGGGAGGCGGGGTCCCGGGCCCGGGCGGCCTGCTGGGACCCGGCGCGGACGAGCCCGTGCGGAGCCCCCCCACCCCCCGGGAAGGTGGGCGTGCGCCCCCCTCGGCCCGGCCGGGGCCTGGGCGAGCCCAGGACGGCGAGAGGCCGGGGGGTCGGGGCCCCGCGGCTCGACGGGGACGAGCCGTGCGGGGTCGGGGCCTGGTGGGAAGGAGGAGTGTCCGCCTGACCACTCCTCCGGGGCATCCTCGAGACCTGGCGGCGAACTTGGGCGAGAAGGATGGCTCGGGGCGGTGGAGGGAGCCCGGGGGGGGGGGGTGGGTGGGGGGGTGGGGGACACTGGCCGAGCCGCTCCGCCAAAGGTTACAGTGTTATTTCTTGGGTAGAAATTGTACTTGATGGATTGTATCTCATGACCCATAAGATGATACTGTTGGTTGTTCTTTGGGGCTGGAAAACTCAGGTCAAAATTATGGGGTAGATTTGATGGTCACTTTAATAGGCCCCTCTGGAGTCTGATAATCATCGCACTTGCGAGTTTTGTACCTGGCCTACTGTTAGACATTGATGTCCCAGATGCAGCGTTTGAATTCTTATTGTTGTAGTGTCTTGTCCACTCTGTGTTCTGATCTCTATTTTTCATGTATATATCATATATATATAAATGTCTGGACACATGTATATATTCATTCATATTTTGTATATTCTCTCTGCACATCTTTTTCATATATACATATATATATATATTCAAACTTCTGTTTGAAGTTCAACTTCTCACAGTGTAAACAGTGATGCCATCAGAGGTTGTAGTTGAATTACAGATGATTTTTTTATGTGAAATGTTTACCCTTAGTTCATGGATTGGTGACCAGGCCTTCACCTTTGAGTAAGCAAGAGACCTACATGATCTCTCTTAGTTTTTTCTTGGAGACCAGGTAAGGTGTGTTAGGTGGCCAAAATAAATCTAGCACATGTGTTACTGTACTAAATTTAGAGGGTCTTAAAATTTTGGATTGACTGTCTATTGGACCTACTGCCCTCACTTTCAGGTGACCAAGAATAGTTCTGGTAGCCAGCACGGTGATGCCACCCCATTTGTTAATTACAAGCCATAGAGACTTAACTCAGGTTTCTTAGTTTGTAGGGCTGCCTGGTTAAGTGGTTACCTACTGAGAGGCCATTCATTAGAAATATTCCATTGATTCCTGAGTGTCAAGCAGGACCTGGTGAATTAGTGGTCAAATCATTAGAATGCCTGTGAGGAAATTAGATACTGCTTTAACTGCAAGTATGTCCACAGATAATAAGGACGACTTCAGAGGAAAGAAGCAGAGGTCCACAAAAGAGCCTACTGCAGTGCTTCCCAATATTCCAACAGCATGGTGGTTTTTAAATCTTCTGACTCAGGTTTCTAGTAAAATGGTGGGTAGGATGGGTGTGTTAAGAGCCATTTGCGACCTGGGTTGTGAACCAGGAAGGTGTACTGCAGACTGTGAATAGTTCTTGAAATTTGCTCCAGGCTTTGAGGAGTGGTAAAATCAGTTTAGAAATCTACTTTAAGTTCTCCTTAATACTTTCTGTGGCAAAGTGGAATTCTGAGGTACCAAAGGGAGTATTCATGTTTTAGAGAGTGTGTGGTGAGGGTTATTAGAAGTTGAGAAGAAAGTGTTCTTATAGTTGTGTAGGATAGAAAAGGAGTTTGGTAAATATCCTGTCATATCATGGAGGAGTATTTTTATAGAGGTGCACCCGAGTCTCTTTTATTTCCTGATGTCACCGGTGCTTAACATAGTTCTCAGCCATTCTATGCCTGCAGATCTTTTTTGAGTAAATGATTAGTATTGTTACAGAAGACGAAGTAGTTAGGGGAGTTGATAGCAGCATTAGTTATTAAAAGCTACTTGAGGGCTGGGAAGGTGGCTCAGTGGTAGAGCGCTTGCCTTGCATGCATGAGGCCGTGGGTTCGATTCCTCAGCACCACATAAGCAAAAAAAAAAACAAAAACAACTGGAAGTGGCGCTGTGGCTCAAATGGTAGAGATTTAGCCTTGAGCTGAAGAGCTGAGGGACAGTGCCCAGGCCGAGTTCAGGGCCCACAACCGGGCCAAAAAAACAAAACAGAAAACCCACAAATAAAAGCTACTTGATACCTTGCACTTGATTAATAAGCCATTTTCATTTCCTTGCTTGTAACTTCTGATTTTTCATTCAAGAGATTCTGTTTCTATAAAGACTGTCATTCAGGGGCTAGGAAGTTGGCTCAGTATAGAGTGCTTGGCTTGCATGCATGAGGCCCTGGGTTCTATTCTTCAGCACCACATAAGCAGAAAAAGCAGGAAGTGGCACTGTGGCTCAAGTGGTAGAGTGCTAGCCTTAAGCTGAAGAGCTGAGGACAGCGCCTAGGCCCAGAGTTTAAGCCCCACGACCAGCAAAAAAAAAAAAAAAGACTGTCATTCAGTACTACCCTGTCGCTAGTTGTAGTTTTTTTTTATTTTATTTTTATTTTTTTATTTTGTCTGTCGTGGGGCTTGCACTCCGGGCTTGGGCGCTGTCCCTGTGCTCTTCAGCTCAAGGCGAGCGCTCTACCGCTTGAGCCACAGCGCCACTTCTGGTTTTCTAGTGAGTGGTTTATTGGAGATTAGAGTCTCACGGACTTTCCTGTCCGGGTTGGCTTTGAACTATGATCCTCAGATCTCAGCCTCCTGAGTAGCTAGTATTACAAGCGTGAGCCAGTGGTGCTCGGCTCTCCTACTTTTTGAGTTTTAATGTATTTAACATTTTTTTGGGTGGTTATTGACCGACCTACCTTCCTTCCTTCCTTCCTTCCTTCCTTCCTTCCTTCCTTCCTTCCTTCCTTTCTTCCTTCCTTCCTTCCGTCTGTCCTTCCTTCCGTCTGTCCTTCCTTCCGTCCTTCCTTCTTGTTTGTCAGTGGTGGGGCTTGAATTCTGGGCCTGGGCGCTGTCCCTCAGCTCTTCAACTCAGGGCTAGCGCTCTACCGCTTGAGCTACAGCGCCACTTCCAGTTTTCTGGTGGTTTATTGAAGATAAGAGTTTCACGGACTTTCCTACCCGGGCTGGCTTTGAACTGCGATCTTCAAATCTTAGCCTCCTGAATAGCTAGGATTACAGGCGTGAGCCACTGGCGCCCGGCATTTTTAAGAATTTCTAATTACAGGGTTGGAAGTATGGTTCAAGTGGTAGAACGCCTTCCTAGGAAGGCGCTGTTTTCAAACCTCATTGTAATTTGTATTATGTAATTTGGTTTTGGTCTCACAGATAGGTGAATCTTCTTATTTAAAAGAAACAAAGGACACTATGTCTTGGGTTTTGCTTTTGGATCATGGATTTTATACGTTACCCAAAAGTGCTCTGAAAATTTGAGTACATGTTGCAAGTATTATGCAGAAACAACATGCTTATGCTGTTGTAACTCAATGTTGAAATCAAATTGGGTTTCACATAGGGAACTTCATAATTTGGTTTGAAGCCACAAGACTAAGAATGGTTTGGGAGAAGTTCGTGCAAAATTATATGACTAGTTGCTTCTTACAGACCACCCATTTCTGCAGAATTTATATCTAATTTTATGATCAGTGAGACATTGATTTAAGACAAAATATGAGATCATATCCATATTGGTTTGAACTAGGACTCAGTAATTTTAGAGGTTACCAAAGTTATTAATATGTCATTGCTATTTTTAATCATAATTTGATGATACTAATGCTGGTATGCTTTTATCTTTTGTGCTGTATCAAGAAACTTAGTATAACTCCCAAGTTCATATTTGTATAAGATGTTAAAAATGAAAATAGTTCTTTTAGAGAGAGTCTTGCTATTTAGCTTGACTAGCCTTGAGTTTGAAATTCTTCTTCAGCCTCTTCAGTGCTGGGATTAGCACTTTTGCTATCATGTCTGGTGTGAAAATTGTTTTAGTACAGACAGTGATAGACCATAAGTCATGAGTTCAAGCCTAGGTTGTGCTCCTCATTATCCCTTTTGTTTCTGGCAAGCCACAGGACCCTCCTGAGCTCTCATTAATAAAAGGAGGAAGAGCAATCCATTTCACAGGGCTGTTAGGGAAGATCAAGTGGAATGGTGTATATGGAAAGCAATTTAAAAATGTTAAGAGGATGGCATTAGAATTCTGTTGTATTAAAATTCTGTTTATTTTCTTGAGTTTGCTTGTGAAATGGTGGTAAACTTGGTGCAGCTTGGTACATGTCAAATGCAGAATTACCTAAGGTTACTACTAGGGCATCAGAAAGGTTTCCTTTCCTTTGATCTGCTCTGAGAAACCTTTCAACATTTGCATCTGCTAATAGTGTTGCAGGGATCTGGGATATCTTTTGTTTGTACCAAGGTCTTGTAGTTGGAGTGGGCTTGCTACATTTCACTCATTTTCTCTATGTTAGAGCTCTGGTAGAAGATGCTCAGAACAAGGAGTTTAGCACAATTTGTGTCTTAGAACTTGTTTTAGAAGTTTTAGAGCTGTGTTTTCTAAATGGCAGGTGGCAATGTCATGTCACAGGATAATCAATGTGCTTTGAAAAACAAGTATTCAGAAACAGGCTTTGAAAAGAATATATCAGTGTATTGCATTTGGTACAAGTAACTTGATTGGGAACCAGTACTTGTTTATTGCTTTTTTTTTTTTTCTTGCCAGTCCTGGGGCTTGAACTCAGGGCCTGGGTTCTTTCCTGAGCCTCTCTTTGCTCAAGGCTACTACTCTACCACTTGAGCCACAGTGCCACTTCCTGCTTTTTCTGTTTATGTAGTACTGAGGAATTGAACCTAGGGCATCATGCATGCTAGGCAAGCACTCTACCACTACGCTACATTCCCAGCCTATGGCTTTTTAAAACTATGTTTATGTATATGTACAGGTTCTGGTATGAAAATGTGTTTTTCTTATGGTTGTTAAAGCATCAAAAATAGTTTAGGGACATGGTACTTGGGCATTGTAGGTAGAATAACTGTCATAAGATAGTGAGGCATGGGGCTGGGAAGGTGGCTCAGTGGTAGAGTGCTTGCCTTGCATGCCTGAGGCCCTGGGTTCGATTCCTCAGCACCACATAAGCAAAAAGAAAAAAGCCGGAAGTGGCGCTGTGGCTCAAGTGGTAGAGTGCTAGCCTTGAGCTGAAGAGCTGAGGGACAGCACCCAGGCCCAGAGTTCAGGCCCCACGACCAGACCCCCCCCAAAAAAAAGAAAAAAGAAAAAAGCCGGAAGTGGCACTGTGGCTCAAGTGGTAGAGTGCTAGCCTTGAGCTGAAGAGCTGAGGGACAGTGCCCAGGCCCAGAGTTCAGGCCCCATGACTGGACCCAAAAAAAAAAAAAAAAGATAGTGAGGCATAAAACAAATGAAAAGCCAGGAGTAAAGTTGTGAAGTTTGGGTATAGTAGAACTTTTGTCTTCATAGTGAAATACTTCATAATTCTGTTATATATTGTAAATTTAACCAACAGAGCACGTAAACTTATGCTAATATTCCTAAGTATTCTCTTCCCCCTTGAGATGGAGTACTTCATAACAGAGATAGTGTCTTGGTACTCACCACTATAAAATATCATTTTGGATATAGGTTCAGGTTTAGATCAGTTATATATCTATTTGAGTGCTTGTACAATGCTCAGAATGAGTCAAGTGGTAAAGTGCCTGCCTACCAAGAGCAAGCCCTGAGTTCAAACCCTAATTTTGTGCGTGCACGTGCATGTGTGCGCGCGCACGCACACACACACACACACACACACACACAAATTATACTTTAGAGAGCAGTTTGGTTATAACATATCTCTGTTCTTTTAAGAGTTTAGATCTTGGAGTCTGAGTGAGTGAAGAGATGAATAATTGCTACTTGCTTTTCTTTGCTTGCAAAGAACCACAATTAACCTGCCACTCTATTTGGAAGAGCCTAAGCCTATAACATAAAAAAACAAGAAACAAAAAGCAAAAAAAACTTTCTTGAGCTGCAACTTTCTATGGTGAATCTTAGATTAAAAGTTAACATTTAGTAGGTTGTTTTTTACTTGACCCCCTTCCTCCATAATTATGAAATCAGGGAAAACTGCTTTAGTACTAGAAAAAATAAGAGACTTATTTTTTTATTTCTTACCCCATTATGGAGAACTTTTCAGTTATTTCGTAAGGGTCATTGTTAGAGAAAGATAATAATAAATAATAATAAAATCTTAGAGTTGTGAAAGGAGATTATAATTAAGCAACTTGACTGCTTATTTTTTGCAAGCTAAAAGGAACGAGATAATTTGTGAGGAAGATGATTGCTGTATACAGTGCTTTACACAAAAGCTGAGATTGCCTTTTCGTTTAGGTAGTATGATTTATGAACTATTTTCACTTATATCTTCTTAGATCACCACAAGAATTTCAGGCCATCATTTATCAGGGATGTTGTGTTGTAACTTGTTTAAGGCTCTGAGTCTAGGATGTGACATCATATTTAGAGTAGATTGAAAACTCAGCAAAAGTAGGGACTTGGTGTCTGTTCAGTTTCTCACTCCCTAACACTTCTTATACTGCTTGGTGCATGGTAAGCCTTCAGTATTTAGGGAATGTTTAACTCTTACATTTACTTACTTACCTAAATGTAAATAAAGTATAGTGGAAAGCTACATACTTAAATTTTAACAGGTTAGGTTCTTTCTTGTGATGTGCAAAGAAAATATTTTTATGAGAGAGGTCACTAATTTTAAATCAACCTTTCAGGTATATCTTTAGTTTCTCTTAAGGTATTTTCAAGAGTACAAAAAAGTTAATCCAAAAGAGAATAGTCTTATGAGAAAAGCACCAAATTGTAACACGCAAGCACTTCTTCATATGTATATGAAATAATGTACATACTGAAACGAACTCTAAAGATAAGGAAACAGGAATTTAATTTGTCTGATATACCTCGTATATAGTGTATACACGTGCACATCTGAGGGAAGGTGGGGGGAGGGCTCAGAATCTGGGAAGGAGTGAAAATGTGAAGCAGCTGGGCCCGTCAGCTGCCCTGGACATTGATGAAAGTGAATCAAGCAACTCATGGGCAGAGATGGGAGGGAGAGAATGAGAGAGAATGAGGGAACAGATGATCCTAAGCAAAAGGAAAGAAAGGTACTTATTGGGGCTGGGAAGGTGGCTCAGTGGTAGAGCGCTTGCCTTGCATGCCTGAGGCCCTGGGTTCGATTCCTCAGCACCACATAAGCAAAAAGAAAAAAGCCGGAAGTGGTGCTGTGGCTCAAATGGTAGAGCACTAGCCTTGAGCTGAAGAGCTGAAAAGCTGAGAGACAGCGCCCAGATCCAGAGTTCAGGCACCATGACCAGACCCAAAAAACAAAACAAAAAAAGAACCTATATGAAAGAAAACATACTCCATTTCTAGATGTTTAAGAAACATTTGTGCTAGTACTAGGTCTTGAACTCAGAGCCTAGCACTTTCACCTGGCTTATTTTGCTAAGGGTTGGCATTCTATTGTCCAGTTCCAAAAAACAGGCAAGTTATACATGAATGGAAATCAGAATGGTGATTGTCCTTGGTGATGAGGACAAATGGGACCATAGAGGTAACTATTAATGTTGTGTCTTCCTTTAGACTGTTGGTTTTATGTGTTCAGTTTAAGAGAATCATAGAGTTGTATATTTAGACATAACAAATTTTTTTGTGTATGTTCTATATCTTACTTTACACCTCCCCCCAATACTTTACTTTTTTTGAGATAAGGTCTTTTTATGTTACCTAGGGTAGTCTTGAACTTCTGGGATCAAGTGATCTTGCTTTAGCCTCCTGAGTAGCTAGGTCTACAGAAATGTGTGTACTCCTGTGACATAGCATCTGGATTCCAAAATCAGAATTCAGTCAACTGAATTTGTTTAAATTTAGCTGTTGCTAAAACATTTCCTCTTCTTGTATTCACACATGAATATGTTCAGTGGTAAGAACATTTTATCCTTTTTATTAAGATTTATAACAAAACAGTGGATAAGACAAATATAAACTTAATTTTTAAAATGATTTAGTTGGTTGTTTTTTGATGTGTAAACCTTAATCTTCTCAGGAGGGAAGGCTATACATTTTGTAGAGAACAAAGCTGACACATCTCTCCCCTTCTTTTGAGGATCAAATTTGGGGAGCTCATATATGCTAGTTTTCTAAGCTACAGCACCAACTGAAAGATGACTTTTTTTTTTTAATGTAATGGAAATTAAACTGAAGACCTTGTCTGCCAGGCAGATTCTTTACTACTGAGTTACACCCTGAGTTACCCCTGTTTTTTTTTTTTTTTTTCTGGTCGTGAGTCCTGAACTCTGACCTGGGCACTGTCCCTCAGCTCTTCAGCTCAAGGCTAGTGCTCTACCCCTTGAGCCACAGCGCTACTTCCTGCTTTTTCTGCTTATGTGGTGCTGAGGAATTGAACCCCAGGCCTCATGCATGCAAGGCAAGCATTCTACCACGAATCCACCTTTCCAGCCCTGAAAACAAAGTTTTAAGGAATCTCAGAATTCCAGATTTTTGTCTTGGCTCTGCCTTTATGTTACTTTTTCTTCTTTCTTTTTATTGACATTCCTGGGTCTTGAACTCAGGGGCTGAGTGCTTCCCCTGAGTTTTTTTTTTTTTGGCCAGTCCTGGGGCTTGAACTCAGGATGTGGGCACTGTCCCTGAGCTTCTTTTGCTCAAGAGTAGTGCTCTACTACTTGAGTCACAGCACCACTTCTGGCTTTTTCTGTTTATGTGGTACTGAGGAATCAAACTCTACCACTAAGCCACATTCCCAGCTCCTCCATGCCCCCCCCCCCCCCCCCCCCCCCCCCCCCCCCCGCCCTCCAATCTTTTTTGCTCCAGGTTAACTCTTTACTGCTGAGCCACAGCTCTACTCCTGGCCTTTTGGTGGTTAATTGGAGAAAAGAGTCTTATGGACTTTCCTGCCCAGGCTGGCTTACAACTATGATCCTCAGATCTCAGCCTTCTGAGAAGCTCAGATTTACAGGTATGAGTCACTGGTGCCTGGCTACATTACTATTTCATTGGATAAATCATATAATTTATTTGGGTCTTTGATTTTTTTGCATTATAACAATAGTACTTAAGCCGTTTTTTGTTTTTTGGCAAAGTGATTTGGGTAAAATCATAGGGATTACTAGCTAGATTTTTATTTAGGACATTGAATTTAGGCCAGCTACCGTATACAGCAGAATTGTAGTATCAAAGCATAAAATGATTGGTTTAAGGCCACATAGCTGGTGATTATTAATATCATTCAATTATATTAGCTTACTACCTACCAAGGCTTACTTAAGTATGCCAGGCTCTACTGTAAGCATTTTGTGTGTATTAACTCATTTAATTGTCCAGGATTATCCTCAGGGGTTGGTGCAATTATTCCAGTTTTACCACTGAGGAAATTGGGGCAAAGTGAGTAAATAACTTGCCCAGGTAGGTTGAATTCTTGAGCATGAGCTCTTATCCGTTCTTTTTTACTTAGTTAAGAGAAAAGTCTTAAGGATATTTTAGGCAAATAAGATCTTAAAATAATCTTTTGGAAGGTTATTTGAAGTAAATATTTTTTAAAACAAATTTGCAGATTGGAGGTGTAGCTCAAACAGTAGAGCACCAGTCTAGAGAGCATGAGGCTCTCTGTTCAAGGCCCAGTTCTACTACCACCACCAAAACAACCCCTAAAAATATCAAGTGAAATAAAGTTGGAGAAGAGCCTCATATTTTGCTCTTGATTTTGGAAAAGATGTGTTAATATTTATTAGCTGGCTTTTTATTCTCTGACCCAGTTCATTTTCTTTTTTTTTGGTCAGTGTGGGCTTGAACTCTGGGCTTGGGCGCTGTCCCTATGCTCTTCAGCTCAAGGTGAGCCTTCTACCGTTTGAGCCACAGTGCCACAGTGGTTTATTGGAGATAAGAGTCTTTGAATGGTGATCCCCAGCTCTCAGCCTCTTGTGTAGCTAGGATTACAGGTGTGAGCCACCGGCACCCGGCTTTCATTTTCTTTTAAAACTACGATGTAGTAGGAATGGAGGGATGTAGGGAATGTGGCTTAGTGGTAGAGTGCTTACCTTAGCATGCATGAAGCCCTGTGTTCTGTTCCTCAGTACCACTTAAGCAGGAAAAGCCAAGCCCTGAGTTCAAGCCCCAGGACTGGCAAAAAACAATAAACAACCCCCCACCCCCCAACAGACCAACAGAAACAAAAAATCTAAGATGAAAACACCTTAGTAATTTTTCTTTTAAGACTATAAGTGATGGAGTCGGGCACCAGTGACTCATGTCTATAATCCTAGCTACTCAGGAGGCTGAGATGTGAGGATCCAGGTTCAAAGGCAGCCCAGGCAGGAAAGCCCGTGAGACTCTTATCTCCAATAAACCACTCTAAAACTGGAAGTGGCGTTGTGGCTCAAGCGGTAGAGCGCTCACCTTGAGCTGAAGAGCTGAGGGACAGAGCCCAGGCCCAGAGTTCAAGCCCCACCACTGACAAAAAAAAAGAAAAGAAAAAAAAAGAAAACCAGAAGTGGTGCTGTGGCTAAAGTGGTAGACTGCTTGCCTTGAGCTGAAGAGCTGAGGGATACCTCCCCCCCCCCCCCCCCCAGGCCCAGAGTTCAAGACCCACCACTGACAAAAAAAAAAAAAAAAAAAAAGAAAAGAAAGAAAGAATGTAAGTGATGGTTGCTGGTTGCTCATACTTGTAATCCTAGCTACTTATGAGGCTGAGATCTGAGGATCCTGGTTCAAAATCAGCCCAAGCAGGAAAGTCAGTGAGACTCTTATGTCCAATTAAACACCAAAAAGGCAGAAGTGGAGCTGTGTTTCATGTGGTTGAGCACTGATCTTCAGCAAAAATATAGCTCAAGAACAGGGCCTAGGCCCTGAGTTCAAACCCCAGGACCAACACAAAGAAAATAATATAAATGAGGGCATGGCCCAAGTGTTCTGAGTTCAAACCCTAATATCATTCCCCCTTAAAAGTTTAAAGAATGTTTCTTAGTGCTGGTTATAGGCATGGTTCAGTGATAGGTTACTTACCTTGCAAGTGCAAGATTCTGAGATCAAACCCCAGTACTATTTAAAGAAAGGAATAGATTTTAGTCATGAGGGAATTTGTGACTAATTTACAAATATTGTTTCAATTTCTAGGCAAAATGAATAATGAAAGTAAATTTTCAAATTTGGAGACAAAGTGGACTGTTCTTGCTTTGGAGTTCTGAGAAACATTTGGTCCTAGTATCAGCAATAATTAAGATCCTGGGGCTGGAAAGGTGGCTCAGTGGTAGAGGGCTTCCCTTGCATGCTTGAGGCCCTGGGTTCGATTCCTCAGCACCACATAAGCAAAAAAGAAAAAAGCCGGAAGTGGCGTTGTGACTCAAGTGGTAGAGCATTAGCCTTGAGCTGAAGAGCTGAGGGACAGCGCCCAGGCCCAGAGTTCAGTCCCCACGACCGGACCCAAAAAAAAAACAAAAAATAAATAAAACTTTTATTGATGGTATTGGGAATTTGTACTGAAGATCTTACATTTGCCTGTACCACTTGATCCATACCCCCACCATCTCCAATTGTTTTACAAAGTATAATTCATATACAAAACA